TCCTCAACTTCAATTCTCTTTTACACAGTCTTTAATAGAACCCATCCTGTATTTAATATAAACACATAGCTTTTGACTATCATAATTTTGTACGGGCAAAGGCTTAGTTTCCCTCCATGCCTCAAGAATAAACTTTCTGTGTCTTAGCTTCTCCACAAATGAAACATCAGGAACACTTTAAGAAGATATCTCTATGAGTAAGTCCCATGCTTCTAGGGAATGGAGCCTAAAATACACATTACAAAAAAAAATAATATTTTTTAAAAGTTTTGTGTTGAATATTGATTAAAATACAAAATTTTGCTGAAAAGCATTTGTTGTTTTTCTTTTAAGTTAATTTCATCTTTAATTCATGTAAAAATGAATCAGGAAAAAGCTCACAGAAATGTGTTATGTGCACCATGTTTCTTGACTGTTTTGAACTATTGTGTTAAACTGGAATACTCAACATAAAGGCTATTGAGAAATATATAACAGGGCTGGTATCTCCCTTTCTTCATATGCACATGCGTATGCTATGCAGGCATGTAAATGCATTCTCACATGTGTGGTAACCCATTGTGAAGATGTGCATACACGTATATGTGCCTGGGTGTTGGAAGCCTGGGGTTGATATTGGGACTTTTCCTTTATCACTCTTTCTTTTCTGCTTTGAGGGCAGTGTCTCTCAGTCCAACTTAGAAGTTGCAGATAGGTATAGAGTCTATAACCTGCTGGGACCCACATTTTGGCCTTCCCAGACTGGAACTGCAGGGACTGAGGTAATGCTGTGCCCACCAGATATTTGCATGGGTTCTGGAACTCCAAACTTCAGGCCTCTTGCTTACATAGGAAACATTTTAACCACCGAGCCATCTCCCCTATCCCATCTTATCTAAACTTTAAATGATGATATTAATGTCCATAAAGTTCCTCTCCTGTCCATGATATCCATGCTAATATACATTGCAGATACCCATCAGGATAATCGTACCTTGAATAAAATGTTTGAAATCTTACACAGAGTCTGTGTCTTCACAATCTGGACATTCAACAACTCTTAAGTCAAACTATTTAGCCCATTTTTGAAATCTAAACAACTGACTGAGAAATATAATGTCCTACCCACTGACTGAGATTTGTGGTTTCTCCAAATGCTATCATTGCCTTGATAGCAAACCCCACATCCTGCTTCTGGATGCATGAAAGTATAACTAAAGAGCAGTAATTGCTTTGTATGGAATCACTTTTTCTTCCTATATAACTCCTACATTAAATAGCAGGTACTAATATAGAAGAAAGCAAAAATATCATCTAATTGATAACGTTTTTGAATTATGGCACCAGGTAGTAGATGGATGACAATGTGAGTTTTTATTTGCCTGGATCACTTGATGTATATAACATATATGTAACTGGAAAAATCTGCCTCAAGCTTTCTTACCCTGAAGTTATTACACTTGTAAATCCCAGCTCTTCATTTCCAGAAACGGGGTTCATTTACCAAACTAGCATATTTCCATTACAGACGTAAAGTCGTCTACCTGTGTTATGGAGGAAGCTATTAAATATTAATTTTCCTTAGTGTATTTTATGAGACTTGAGAGGCCTGTGAAAAAGCATCTACAAAAGTAGCAAGCCATTTTTGGAAAATAAAGATACATGAAACTTAATAGATATAAGTAATAAACTGTACTTTTACATTATTTAACGCTGCAAATACGTATATTTGGAACACAATCTTCAGGAACTTGAGGTATACTTTGACTGTGCTTGATAATGAGGTACTTTGCATGGGTCACATGACCATCTCTTGGTCTTTCTGTCTTGTTACTGTGCTTTTCAATGTCATCAGCATTTATGCTGAAAACATTTATTCACATTATTTGAGAAAAAGTAAATAATATCCTTGGGCCCCCCAGAAAAGCAACGCAGGGATGCTCTCATTGAATTTCACTGCACACAATGTACTGGATAGATATTAAATATTTTAGCACGTATTCTAAGCATGTAGCTCTGTGTCTGCTACACTGCTCACCCTAAGTCTAACCGGCTGAGATTATTATTATGAAAATAAAGTATTCCATATCAACGATATTTAAGCAAGCAGTAAAGAGATAACAGAAGTGAGAGCCTCATTTGCATTACAACAATAAGCAAAACGCAAGCATTATATGGTATCCCTTCTTAGTGAACAGGAAAGAAATGCTCACGATGGCAGTGCTGTCTTCAAAGCACACATAATGAAAATATTTTAATTCGAGAAATTGCCTAGAGCAAAATAGGATGATAATTGTGTTGGGTTTTTTTTTCCTTATAAAGAAAAGCCATATGAAACAAACGCTTTACTTCAAACAAAGAAAAACATTTCAAATATATATGTGCACACATAAAAATGTATGAAATTTAAAATAAATTACCTTAATATTAAAACAATTTCTTTAGTTTGCTAGAATAGATAGTCTTTTATTCACTAGATAGAATATCAAGGTAAGTTAATGACTGAATTAGTAAAATGTGGTCTGGGCCTTGAGTTAGAATTGTCCTTATTCCATTGTGTCCAAACCCAATTTTATTTCTCACTAGTCATGACCTGAACATGCATTTAATTTTTTTTTTAATTCTTTTTAGTTTAACAATACATTAAAAATATTTTTCAATTTTCAACTTACTCAGTACATTGCTAACTTCTGCAACCTGGGGAGAAAAAAAATGAAATCAAACACTATATATACGGAGGAAGACCAAACAAACCTATATTTACATCTGAAAACCAACTACAAACCTATATTTACATCTGAAAACCGGCTGCACCAGAAGAAAACAAATAGCCTTGTCATCTCTGACTGAAGAGCTTTGGAAGGTTCTCATTTGCCTGTATCATCTTTCATGCCTTTTCCTCTCTTTTGCCTCCAGTACAACACAGACACACACACACACACACACACACACTCCCCCTCTACCCCCGCAGACTGCAGTAGAAACTGCCAGAGTTGTCTCCTTTTTTTCCCCCCATAAGCCTTGCAGACATCTGCCACTGTCTGATAGGAAATGCTGATGGAGAAAGGATTTATCTACTTTCCATCCAAAATATGTGAGCCATTAAGGAAATTATAAGAAGCAACAACAATACACTCTGCTTTTATTCAGAGCCTTTCCCTTAGTGATTATTAAAAGGATGATATTTTTAGCTAAAGAAAGCAAAATGCATCTGCAGCAGCTGGTTTCCAAGGCAACAGAATAATTTAAAACCATGTGGAACTCCGCTCTCTAATTTTCATCAATCCCTCTTCATTCCTAGAGGTAGCTTTGTTCAGAATTTATAATTCCTTAAAAAAAAAAAAAGTCACTGCATTGATTTATTGTCTCTGCCACATTCCAGCAGCTGAATATTTATTTAGATTTGCATACCACCTTAGGTTCCATGGGGGTGGGAAACTCGAATTAATTGCAATCATCGTTTTGTTTGAAAAAAACCAAAATTAGTTTTAAAGAAAAATATCAACAATTTAAAACACATTGAAATCTTAGCATTATGTCATGATTTTTGAAAACCAGAAATGGTTCAAAACAAACCATAGGAGAGATCAACATAACATCTGAGCGTTTAAAGATAGTAAGCATATTTAGGAAGTTCAAAGGAGGTATTCGTTAGCTTGAATAATCTTTACCCACTATCCAGCAGTATTTCTTTACCATTAATTTAAGAATTTGTTATATTTGTACCTTATTCAAAGGTTTGTACCATCCATCTTTCAAATCAAAGCAAAAATAAGACCAATTTTTTTTTATAAACTACAGTCATTCTTAGTAAGTTTCAGTTCATTCAAAGGCATCAAAATATTTACATCACTATTATGACTTTGCTTTACCCCAGTCAACAGGTATTAACTGGATGCCAATGTGTCCACGACTGTACTATTTTTTAAGAACTCAAAGGTAATGATTTCCTCTCAGGATTAAATGATTTTATGAAATATAATCAACAGAGGAGCTAATGTTGTGGAATAAAATTATTTTACCATCCTTATTACTATAAATATGTCATTTAGTCTTTGCTGCTAAAAAAAATCTTTCCTGGTTTTTATAAAATAAAACACAGTTTCAGGCATTATAAGCAACTGGTAAAGTCAAAACTTTAGGCGTACTAACAACTGCCGTGAGGCTTTTGCTAGCAATGTGTCGTGGAATTTCTTAACCTTGACCTGTCTGATGCATAAATGAAACTTGTCGGTCAGACACTACTTTTCTCAGCAAAGTCTCATCTTTCCCAATTAGACTTCTGTGCTTTTAAAGAGAAAACCGTCCCGTGCTTGTTGACAGCTATCCGTAGATCTTTACTTCATCACCACACGTAAGCTTCACATTTGCTGACAAACGCTGCAGCTACTCAGGGTATGAGAAGCATAGAGAGAAGAAGGCTTACATGCAAATAGACCGTTCATTCAAAGTCTAGGCTAAAAGAAGCCGTAAACTTAAAAAAAAATTATTAAGCTCGTTGCTGGGTGGTAAATATAAAGACCCCACACTGAATCCAATATATTCAGAGAAGGCTCCATTTTCTCAGGACCTGTGGAATCTATCAAGCTTTTCTCATACGTCCTTTGGTTTCCATGAACACAAGCCTTGATATCACACACACACACACACACACACACACACAAAGACACACGATTTTATCCGTCCGTTGTGCTCAGTGACGTTTGCTTAGATGGCTAACCAGGAAAAGACATGTCCCTCGTGTTTTTGTGCGGTTTTTGTATTTAAATCGGGAAAGGGTTTTGCAAACACAAGGAGCTGCTCATCAAGGCTTCCCGGAGTCAAGCGAGGGACCAGTTTCGGGAAGCGCCTTCAGGATTACCACACTCCTGAGATGCTTCTACTAGAACCGAGCATTTCCCTTTAAGAAAAAAAAAAGGGAAGGAAGGAAGGAAAGAAAGAAGGAAGGAAGAAGAAAAGAAAAACCGAAAAGAAAATTCCTTTTCGTATTTTTTTTGTTTTGTTTTGTTTTTTGCTCTTACCTGTAAATATGGTCTCTGTACTTGGGCTCCCGCAGAACACACTGAGAAGAGCTCACTCCGCCCATCCATCAGGCCGCAGCCAACCAATAACAAAAGCCAGATCCTGGCGTCCTCCAGCTCTTGCTGCCTGCCTGCTCCCAGTCCTTGCTCCCTCCCACCCGAGCTTTTAGAGGACAAATCCCTGCAGCAGAGGGAGGAAGGCAGTGGGAGAAAAAAAAAAGAAATATGGAGAGACGAACAGAGAAGAAAAATATTTCAGGCAACAGCCAGCTGGAGTCAAAAGTCTTGTTTTGGATGTAGGAAATCGGGGTTAATCTATGTCTTGCCCACCATAAATCAAAGCAAACACCAAGGAAAGCCTAGGGTAAATTGCCTGTTTCCCCTCACCTCACTGATTTTTTTTTTTTTACTTCAGAGGAAAAAAATGCACGTCCTCATTGTACATTTTGAATTATGGGCAGAGAAAAAGACTGACCATCAATATTGTCTTTTCAAAGGGATCCAATCGAAATGAATCAAACATGACATCTCTTACTAGTGACATGACAACCTCTGCTTGGCAGTGTTGCTATTCATAGTTCTGGGGCCAGATCAGCAGAATACACATTTTTTCAAACAGAGTAGAAGAATATTCAAATATTTTAGAGTTGTGTGGTTTGTACAACTTCAGATTGCTTAGATACCGGCATTAATTTGTGAATATTGGAGCTTGTTAAGATTAAAGAGGAATCAGCCACTTGGTTGCAACGTCTCAAAGTGACTAATTGGACTCTAATTTTGCTCTAATAACCCTGGGCAAAATCATTTCATTTCTGAACTGAAAGGCATAGCATGAATAAAAGAACAATTGAGGAAAACATCAGATTAGATTTATTTAAGACAGCAAAGCAAATTCATGTGCAGCTTCAAGGAGGAAAATTGCTTTAAATGAGGTCTCACTAAGTAGCTGTGGCTAGCCTGGAACTCACTTAATGCACCAAGCTGGCCTCAAACTTTTAGAGACCTGCCTGCCTCTGCCTGCTAAGTGCTGGGATTAAAGGCCAGTGATATCACGAATAGCCAAGAAAGCTAATTAAGTGAACAAACAACAGGCCTCAATAAAACAAACCGGTATTCTTTGTATTTAAAATGGTACTAATTGGATCAGGGAGAGAGTTCGGTGGGCAAAGGCTCTTGCCCCCAAAACCTGACAAGCTGAGTTCAATCCCTTGGTTTGATGTGGTAGAAAGAGACAAAGACTTCTTGAAAGTTGGATTCTGACCTCTGTACCAGTGCCAAGGAATGGGAACACACACACACACACACGCACACGCACACGCACACACACACAACTAATATAAAATGTAACACTCGCTGCTGATTATGGTCATTTGATTAGATAGTCTAAGAGAGTCTTGATTAGATGTCTTGAGGAGACATGCATTAGTGGTTGTTTTGTTTATTGATGCATTTTTATTTACGTATGTGTGTGTGTGTGTGTATCTGTGTGTGTGTGTGTGCGTGTATGTGTGTATATCTGTGTGTGTGTGTATCTGTGTGTCTGTGTGTGTGTCTGTGTGTCTGTGTGAGCGTGTATGTGTGTGTGTATCTCTGTGTGTGTATGCGTGTATGTGTGTGTATATCTCTGTGTGTGTGTGTCTGTGTGTGTCTGTGTGTGTGTGTGTATGTGTGTGTAGGCTCTAGGTGGAATCTACCAGAGTTGGACTTGTATGTTGTGAGCTATCTGAGGTCGTTGCTGGGAGCTGAAAATCCTGTAGAAGAGCTGCAAACTCTTGACCACTGAGCTGCATTCCCATCCTTCAAGCTGACGGGTTTTCTCTCACGCAGTGTCCAACATGGAAGTATAGAGATATCTATGGTCTTTGTTCTGCAGTTTCTTAGTTCAATGACTTTATGGGAATAAAATCAAGAGGAAGAAAAGGAGTCCTTTTTATGTGAGGAAATAACTAGCCTGAGGACACAAGTTGGATAGTCAAGGGATAATGGTACAGAGACCAAAAGGAAGTAGCTGGTCACTTAACTTGAAGGAGACTTTACATAGGATTGCCCTGGAGCTGGATATTAGGTCAGTGTACACAAGGATGAATATATTTCATGTAAAGAAGCTATGTCTGCAAAGGCTAATTGACCAATTAGAACATCAGACATGCAGAATGGTTGGAATGTTGCAAGTTCAGAACCATGTTATCTCAGGGCATTTTTTGCCCCTTAAATATCATTTACTGCCCTCCGTTGTGCATAACCTGGCATCTTCTGTAAACTCTGGGTAAATCTTTTGGACTGGATTAGCAAACCTCTTGTTTCCACCAACCAAAAAGCCAACAACGCTGATACATGCATGACAGCTAAAACAATGGTTCTCAACCTGTGGGTCCCGACCCCTACAGGGCATCAGATATTCTACATACCAGATATTTATGCTACAGTTCATAATGGAGGGAAAACTGCAGTTATGAAAGAGCAATGAAATCATTTATTGTTTGGGGTCACCCCAGCATGAGGATTGCAGCATTAAGAAAGTTGAGAAACACTGATTTTCCTCCACTTTGCTGTAACTCACTCACTCGCTGTATCTACTGATATATTTGAAAAGTATATTACTTTATAGTCTTCTTTGTTCTATTTCTATTTTTTTAAAAAGCTTGTAAATTTGCTATGCTTTAGAGCATAGTATTTGGCTGAACACAAATCCATCTTGCTAGGCCTTGGGCACTCACATTTGGCTCTAAAATATACCATCTCACGTATTCCTGTGAAGTGAGAGCTAGAGTTTTCATTAATCATTGTTGAACAGTATCTATCAGGCCACGCAAGCCTTAGGAAAAAGTGGACTGATTTTACTTTGGTTATATGATTATTTGAAATTGATGTGTGAGACTTTTCTGGAGGTTATGTCTACTGAAACTTTGAGGGATATCTTTGAGGTCCATAGATGATACCAGAGAAATTGGGACCCCCCCCAAGTTCTTAAGTAAATATTATTAGAGTATAAAAGAAATAAACAAAACAAACAAACAAACAACCCAAGCCAGGAGAGCTGTAACTCTCAGCAGCTGCTCAGAACGGAGAGTGGAGGAGAGAAGAGGGAAAGCCATACTGTTTGAGCTCAGCAAGCATAGAGGTCAGCTATGTAGCAAGCTAGTAGCACATGGTGAGGGAGGGAGGGAGGCTTACTTTAGGGAGGGTGAAGCCTAAAGTGTTAGGGAAGCCCATGTTTAGCAAAAGCATGTTTAGAAAAGACATAGAAGAGAAGAAAGTGTGGTGCCTTCCTGAGCAATTCAGAGAAGTGGGCTGACTTTCAAGGCTACAGGGCTGAGCCTCTGTGAGAGAAGGCACCAGGGGGCGGGAACTCAAGGAAGGAAAAGTGTTACTACTCCACCTATCTCTTTAGCTTGGCTTAAGTAGAAACCACCTTAGGGGCGGGTGTGTGTGGGTCTAGGGCCTCACCCAGACTAAATCTGCATTTGAAGAGGTTGTGGCTCACCACTTAAAGCAAGTTCCCTTGCCGACTTTAATGTGACCTATTATAAACAGGAAGTGACAGATAAATGTGCCTTAGATGTAAACTCTCCTATTGTGATGATTTGGTTTGATTTCAGACCCTGGACAAAGGACTGAGATGCATATTTGCATATCAAAACAGACCAGGCCTGCAGGTTCTCTCAGCATCCCTCAATTCCTACCTGGCACACCCTGCTGGCAACCCTGAACTTTCCAGCCCAGGGGCTGGGCAGCTCTTCCCCCAGAGGCTCTTTCTTATAAAATCCAGACATTTTGCTCAGATTCTCTGTCATTCTGCCTCTCTGTCTCCGTCTCTGTCTCTGTCTATCTCTCTCCTTCCCTCCCTTTCTCCTTCCCCCCTCCCCCTCTTCCTTACCATGGAAATGACTCCTTTGACCTCAGTCCTTGAGGCCAGTGAACTCGTCCAAGAACAGCTTCCCAATAAACCAAGATCTAATATATTCTAATCTAGCTTGAATTGTCTCATTTCATCAGCAGAGAGATAACCTATCAGGTTACTTTGTAGTTGACTCATTGGCAGGTCTAAGGGTATAGATCTCATTTGGAAATTGTCAGCATGTAAGAAATGATTACAGCACTGAAAGTGGACTAGGCTCCTCAAGGGTTAATACGTAAAACTATCAACTGGTAGTGGAAAATCAACCTACTAAAACAAATTTGCAGAGGCTGGAGTAGACATTTCTTCTAAGATGTAAAAATGACCAACAATATTTGGAAAACTGTTCTGCAATCAAGGAAATAATCAAGGAAATGACCTTTAAAATACTTATGAGATTCACCTCACACCCAATAGGATGTTTTAGTCAACTTTTTATCCTGTGACAGAGTACCCAAGATAAATCAGTTTAAGGAGATGAAAATCCATGTGAACCAGCATTTCTAAATGAAGGCTGTACCTTATATTGGACCTTGACGTTGCTGTGGAAAGCCTCTGGAAGCCGGTTCTAATCCATGTAGTCTTAGTCATTAACCAGGGCCACAGTAAACTACATTTTAAGAAGATGCTCCAGTGAGTCACATGCTCCTTTAAGTAGAGAAGCATTGTTGTCAGCCATTGAATTTGACCTTTATTTTTTTGCCAACTGAAGGTGAGCAGTACCTGGCCTTGAACTGCTTGACTACTATTGACTACAGTAGCTGTAAAAATGAATGGCAGAAAATAAATGGAGATAAGTTGCATGTTTCCTATATACTTAGGCCAACAGCATCTAGCACCAGACTGACTCTTCAGTTTGCAGAGATCTGGCTCTGCTGCCAGGAGTCTCTTTAGAACACCAGTTTGACAATGCTAAGAGGAACTGACTGAACAGAATGGTGGAGCTGCATTGTTAGTGGGAGCTGGCTTCCTGAGGAGCAGTGACAGTTGGACTTTGAGATGACCATGAGGGTCTGCCTGCACATTGCCTAGCTTCCCAGAAGCCAGGTAAACTGATCTGAAATATGTCTGAGTGATTTTAAAAAACAAAAAATCTCTCTTGACAGAACATACAAAACCTCTGATGGTTAAGTAGCCATGGTTTAAACAAGGGAACATAGAAATAATGAAAAAGTAAAAGAATGGCCAACATTCAAGAAAATCCACAATCGGGCAGCTTGTCATGGGAAATGCATCTAGATTACATGAATTAACTGGTTAGCTTCCTACACTGAACTGCAGTGCGCAAGAGCTCTACACTATATAAGGAGTACCCAGGAAGAATATATGGTATGGCTTAGACTAAGTTCCTTCTATCTAGCTGACTGAGCATGATCTTATATTGTAACAATTCAAATGTACTATTGAAATCTGCTGAGTGAATGGAAAGAGGAGGTTTGGGGGGAGAGGTCTTTGAAACTAAGATTCCTGTAAATACCAAAACAAAAGCTGATAAAGCCTCTCAGCCTTACCAACACACAAGATTTGATTCAGTAGCTACATTTGAAGAAGCAAAGGATCAAATTTGATTCAACTGACCAAGACACCTCACATATTGCTGTAACTTCTCAGGAGTCCTACGAGATCCATGGCCCTGTGTGGAAACTCTAACAGTCATAAACATTTCACAGAACTTCATAAGTACTGATATAAATTCATAAGAATCTACTTATCTACCATGTTCTTCTAAAAGTATGAATTCAAAACTACCTGGCATTTTTGTATGATGACAGTGTTCTGTGTACTAAAATACTATAATAGTATTGCCAAGTCACTGATTTAAAGTTTACATTTCACTGAAGACAAATTATATTTAAACAATAATAAATTAGTATGTTGAATAGTCTGTGGGTAGTGCTACCTCTTAGATAGAGGTGGATCTCAGCAGTTGTGTTTGCTGCCCTGGAGGTAAGTCCTAGCTTATTGTGTATCAAAAGGGAGATCATCGATAATAGTGATGACTAGAATCCAAAATTAACACAAATAAGATTGAGTGATGATTAATCTCAGTTATTGATTTGATGAGAGATGAGGCATTGGAGACGGACTTCTTAACACACCTATTAACATACCTATGAGAGATTGTCTTGATTAAATGTGTTAAATTGGGAAGACCTGCCCATTGTGGGTGGCCTCAGTCCCTTGGCTAAGATTCTGGAGTGTACAAATTGGAAGAAGTGAGCTGAACATAAGTATTCATCATTCTCTTCTTCCTGATTGTGAACACAGCGTGGACTGCTGCTTTAAGTGACGAATCAGTCTGCCTCCATCATAGGCTTAAAAACAATCTTAAAAACAAATGCCTGTAGAAGCATTGCAGGTCTATGCTGTGTCACATGTATATCAGTAGATGGCAGAGAGGAAAGAGTCTATACCTACCCTCAATATTCTGACCTATGAATGTCTGAATGATGAGTGTCTTAACATTTCCTGAAAAAAGAGCCTGCGATGATAACCAGACCAGAACTATTAGACCTGGACAAGGAACTAGCTTGAGGTAACCATCATTCAGGTGCTGTGCAGGCCTAGGGGGGGCAAGGAAAAAGCATGCCTGAGATGACCCTTGCCTGGTGCCTTAATGCATGAGCAGAGCATAACACACCTGAGACAACCTCAGATACTCAGAGACCCCTGTTGCCTCTATGAGGAACAAGTAAGTGGTGGATAAATGGAAGACAAAGAGAAAGAGTGATGTGGGCACAATGAAGAGAGACAGAAGTGAAGACTCGAGGTTAGTGAGGAACGGCCTGATTTGAGTGGCCAGAGATGCCACCTGGGACAATGGTGTAATACTGGCCTATGCTTCCACTGGGAGCCACATTGGATCAATGGTCCTGAAGCAGTAGGTGGCTGTTACCACCAAAAGCCAGGTGAATATCCCTAGTCTGGGATGCTGCCTAGCTAGAAACATGTTGACATCTGAGAGCTGTGCGGAAATGGCCTCACCACTCACATGACCATCATGGGAGAGCTGGCCCTGGGGGTATGAGAGCAAGAGAGCTGGCCCCACTCCTAGCCAACTGCAGTTGTGAAAGTTGCAGATGATCTGGCTCCTGAGGATACAAGCATGGGTGATCTGGTCCTACTACTTGCCTTGTGTGGTGGTGTGGACAAAGGAGAGATACCCTCCTTCTTCCTTCCCCCTCACCACCTGTGGAAGGCCGAAGACTTAGCCCTAGGGTCATCAGAGCAGGAGAGCTGGCCCTGCCCCTCACTTGTTGCAGCACTTAGGAAAGCAGACCCTACACCTCACCTGAGTAGCACAGTATAGCTTGGCTGTGGTTGATGGAGTTGTGGGTGATCCGGCCTTGAGGGTGTGAGTATGGGAGAGCTAGACCTGCCTCTTGTTTGCAGGAAAATAGCATGGTCAAGTAAGACACTCTCTTCCCCACTCTCTTTTCATCTATGGCAGGCAAAAGAGCTTTCCCTGGAATCATGAGTGTGGGAAAACAGGCCCTGTCCCTCACTGACTGCAACATTCAGGATAGCAGGCCCTGTACCATAACTGGGCATCAGGGCACACTGACCTTGGGAGTAGGGGTTGCTGCTAAGCTGGCCCTAAGAGCTTGAGAGTTAGAGAGCCAACTCACCAGCTCATATAACTTTCAGGCCCAGATCCAGGGCTTTGAATTGGCTCACCCCAACATCTACCCTACAAATGAACAGCTTGAAGTACATGATGGGGTCAGTCCTACAGATCCAAAACTACAAGATCTCCATGACACAGGGCAACAACAGGATAAGCAAAAGGAGTCCCAGTGAGGATCCAGATTTGATAGAGAGCAGAAGCCAGAGGCCTTGTACCAAACCAATAACTCATTGCAATGAACGTCTGAAGACAAAAGGCTAAATTATGGGACACACTGTGGTACACCAGAGCTTCCTAAGAAAGGATTGGGGTACATGATGTGAAATTCATAAAGAACCAATAAAAAGGTTTTTTTTTTTAATCCTATTTTCAGGGCTGGAGAGATGGCTCAGCAGTTGAGAGCACTGGCTGCGCTTCCAGAGGTCCTGAGTTCAATTCCCAGCAATGACATGGTGCCTCACGACCATCTGTAATGGGATCCAATGCCCTCTTCTGGCACCCAGGCACCCATCTACACAGAGAGAGCACTCATATACATAAAGTAAATTAATACATCTTTTATAAAAAAAAATCCTGTTGTAAAGACAAATAGGTTCATTCCTGTTTAATGATTAAACCTGTTTCTCAAGAGTTGGGCTAGGCTCTACCTGTAACTTTAAATACAAATGGTTCTATTCCAATACTGCATATTCCAGGGATGGCAATCATGTCTTTGTTTCAATGAGTTATTTTGTAACCCTACCTTGGTTTTTAAATGTTATATGATCACCTATGACTTCGTTGCTATGACTATGATTGTCTTGTTACACTCACCTTGCAACCATGTCTTTGTTTTAAGAGGTCATTAGGACTAGCTTGTTTCTTCTGCTCCTGAAACCTTGCCTATTTTGTCCAACTCTGGCTTGGAAACTCTCTATCCCTAGCTATAAAAACCTTGTTTTCCTCAACTCCAGGATGACTTCTCAAAGCCCATCTTAGGAAGAGTCAACCTGTGTACACAAATAAAAAAACGCTTGCGTCAATTAATTGCTTGCTTTGGCCATGATGATTTGGGTTGGTGGTCTTTCTCCTTCCATCTTTGGGATTAACACAAGCTCATGTTGACTTCCCCGAGGTGATAGACTGTATCCTCTCCTATCGTGAGCCGAAATAAATTCTTTTTCCCTTAAGTCAATCTGGGAATTTTATCACAGCAACAGGAAAAGTAACTTAGACAGGTTGTTAGTTTTCCAAAATCATCAATTTTTAGATGTAGTCATGAATGTCTGTAGTTACAGTCTTTGAGAGGTTGAGGCAAGAAGATTGTGAATTTGAGTCCATCCTGTGAGAACCTAAATTAAACTTTAAAATGTTATGATGTCCGGGCATCAATCTTAGACATCATAAAAGGTGGGTACCACTTTCGACTGTTTTCTAAATATATTACTGGAAGTTGCTAAAGAAATCTTCCTACTCCTCTCTCTTTTGGAATGATATTACCTGAGAATTTTACACAAAAGTTTGCATTTATTTTACATAAAACTTCAGGACTGCACTCAACTGGTAGAAAAATATTACTGATTCCTGAAAGTTGTCCTTTGATTGTGACACATAATATGGCAAATGCACACACACACACACACACACACACATCATCATCATCATCATTATCATCATCATAAATACATACATATGTACATACATACACACATTCATACATACATACATAAAGTTCATTCAGATTGTCTCTATTCAAGTATCACAATAATTATTGGTTATTGAATGTTGTGAATCAATAACTACAATATATCTGAATAAAATCAGATTAGGCGATCTCGGGAATTAGAGAGTTTAAAATATATTTGACTATGAGATTTGGATTTCTTGATAAGATAAAAATTGGGAAAATGTAATATCAGTACTTTATTAGCACAAACAGACAGTGTAGGCAGTCAATTGTCAAATTTCAGGCAATTTGCATCTCTGATGGAAAGATAATTGCAGGAACAATAAGAGCAAGTAGCTTCCTCTCCTTTCTCCCTCCCAAATATTCTACATTGCATTTCCCCAACATAGGCCCAGGAAGCAGGGACTACTGTGGTTTCGACTGGATTAGTTTCAAAGTGATTTAAGGTTTATCATCAACTTAGGGAAATCTTGGAAGAATTGCGTTTGATGTTTAAATATGCAAAGTGTAACATGTTGAGTAAAAAATAATATATGTTTATTAATATGGAAAGTTACAAATCTGTCGTAAGGACGGCATTGAGCCAGCCATGCAGAAATAAGGAAAGAGGAGTAGGAGGAAGAGAGAGAGAGAGAGAGAGAGAGAGAGAGAGAGAGAGAGAGAGAG